GTCATAGGGTGTCAGAAGTCACTGTGCGTCACAAAGTGCAGCCATGAATAAATGCATTATGGCATGAGAACCAATAGAACTGGCTAATAACAATTACGCAGATTAATCGTTATGCCGTAAACGTTTTATCCGTTTCCGAGTACGTCTCAATGATATTAATTGCGAACGTTCGAGTATCATTCATGTACATTCACCTGATTTAGTAGATATTGATGATTAGAGTATAAATTAGAACATTTACGGTATCAGTTAAAATAATGTATGTCAGATAAATATTTCTTCTATCATTTACACGTTGAAGTGTACATACGACTTTTAATATTCTGAGAATTTTTATACATTACACATCCAGCATCTTCACATTTTTCATAAATCCATAAAATCTGATCTTAAATGATTTTATGTTATTCCTTTTAGTTTTCTCGCTTAATGAATTTCTCAGAGAGTTTCAATTGAATAATTTCGATCATTTATTGACTCTTTCGATTTATGTACACATATATACGTACATGTATGCATAAAATTTTAATGAAATAGCAGATCACGAAAGTCGTATAAAGGCAGTTGAAGAAAAAGCTGAATCTCGGTTTCGTCTATACAACCCCTACTGTGGACGGAGGAGGAGGAAACGGAAGTTGGGAGATCGGAGCATCGCAGTCGTGTCCAAAGGATGTGACCTTCAACCCTGCCGGCAAACTTCAGGAAGCTAATTAACCGTGCAGTGTTTCGTGCGTCCTCGCGTTTTTTCTAGGAACGAACCGCGGTAATAAATCGCAATCAACGCCAAGGAAAATACATTCTCCATCGGTGTTTCAAGCGTTCAGAGAATTTCACCATCCTCTGACCAACAAGATCTCCGATGCTCGTCTAATGCAACCTCAAACGTAATAATTCGAATGTATAATCAAGTCATATGGAATTTCATGATAGAAAGTAATTTATCAAANATCTGATAGTATCCGACGAACCTATAAACGGGTCTACCACTCTAGCTTCTGAGTTCTTCCATAAGATCATCGGCTATCGTGTGCACACAGGTCGTATAATAAACGAAAGATTAGTTACATGGGATAGATGGTATCGTTGATGCGATCCAGATGAGAAGTTTAATGAATATTGGCTGATGGGACCAGCATCGATTAAAAGACGAGGAAACAAGAATTATCGTGGCCACCATAGACGTTCCATAGTAGAGATGAGTAATTTTGTATGATTAGGTAATTAAAATACCAGCGATCAACCAAATACACAAATAAATTACTCAATATTCAGGTATGTTATTTCTTTGAGTTTATTGAGTTCTACATATATATTATATTGTACAGTAAAGAATGAAAATGATTTGCAGTTCGAGTATTTAAAATACAATATTTTCTATTTAAAATCTGATTAAACAAGTGAAATTTTCAATAAATTCTTATTTAAATAATTAGACTTTCCAACAATACTAATCGCGATTATTTGCGATATTCGAGATTCTATAGTTCGTAAATAGTCATAGGGTGTCAGAAGTCACTGTGCGTCACAAAGTGCAGCCATGAATAAATGCATTATGGCATGAGAACCAATAGAACTGGCTAATAACAATTACGCAGATTAATCGTTATGCCGTAAACGTTTTATCCGTTTCCGAGTACGTCTCAATGATATTAATTGCGAACGTTCGAGTATCATTCATGTACATTCACCTGATTTAGTAGATATTGATGATTAGAGTATAAATTAGAACATTTACGGTATCAGTTAAAATAATGTATGTCAGATAAATATTTCTTCTATCATTTACACGTTGAAGTGTACATACGACTTTTAATATTCTGAGAATTTTTATACATTACACATCCAGCATCTTCACATTTTTCATAAATCCATAAAATCTGATCTTAAACGATTTTATGTTATTCCTTTTAGTTTTCTCGCTTAATGAATTTCTCAGAGAGTTTCAATTGAATAATTTCGATCATTTATTGACNTATGTGATATTTCTTATCGACTCACTTTGTATTTCCTTTCAATTATAGAATGTATTTGTTAATAAGAAAACGAATAAACCGATGAAGTTATCTTTTTAAATATATTGGATTCCTCTCTCACTCACCGTGCTTTAGGCCTTGCCATTTTGAAGCTAGATCTTGATACTTGTATGTTGGAAGGATGAATAGCGGTTTCGGTGGCGATGGACACGGTTTGTAAACGACCATGCACTTTACGCAATTCCGGTTCGGGGGTGGTACCGGAGGTGGCATCGGATATGCAGGTTGGATGTGCACGTATGCTACAGGGGAAGACTGCGGCGAATAGTAATTCGAATATCTCTTTCGACGAATGCTGAGAGGATTCTGTCTGATTAAAGAAGAGGATGATGCTGTGTTTATTGGCAATTTTGCAATCTTGTCCTTGAAATCTTGTGAAGTAATTAAAGGATCAGATGTTTTCGTGTTTGACGTCATTTGAAATTGCCTTAACGGTTTCGTAGACGTCTGATCATTTCTAAAGTTTTTCACGACTATAGAACGAAATAATTTTTCATCTCCCAATGATTCTTCAGCATTATCATATAAATTTTTGTCCTCGAAGATCTTTTCACTGTTTAATGTTTGCGTGTCGCTTGAAGTGAACACTTCACCCCTGTTTCTCGACTTACTGTCTTTAGTAGGTTCAAAAGTCCCGTTACCACCGTTATGTAAAGTTAATTCAATAAATTCTTCCTCGTTTCCGAGCTGTGTCGCAAACAATTTTTCAATCACCTGAGGAACTCTCGTTATCCTGTCGTCGAGCAGCTTTTCGTTTCCACGAAGCCGAGAGACGGAACGAACCTCGCGAACGTTCGTGTCAGCCTCGCGATCTCTTTTTTCGTGCCCGTCGGAGGAGGTACCAGCGTGATCGATCCCACGAAAATTCACGGAAGAAGGATCAGTGCCCCGGAGCGATCGATCACGAGATCTCGTTTCGCTCATTCCCCTTTCAAGGATGTTCCCGCGATCCCGTTCCGTCGCCCGACCTTTGCGGCTTCCGAACGTCTCCGCGGAAGATCGGAGCGTTTCGTGATCGCCGCGAAAAAAAACCGCGTAGCCCCCTTTTTGCATTCCCGTCGTGCCCGACATCGATTCCTCGCCTCGTTCGTATTCCTCTTTCCCGTCTTCGGAATTGGACGGTTGCTCGGAATTATGGAAATCATCGACGAGCGCGTTCCTCTCGATCCTCCTCTCCGCGGAGATGGATCGCCAGTCTTTTTCGCCCAAATTCGCATCGTTCGTCTCGGAAAGAATTTGGTTTCTGCTGTCCGAAACGCGAAGCGTCGACGATGAATCGGTCGACAGATTTTCTTCATTTTCTGAATGATATAATCGTTCCTCCGAGTAGACTTCGGTACTTCCCGTCTGAACCGGTCGCTCGGTTTCGTCATCGTTTTCACCGAACTCCTCGCGGGAGGTTATTACCGTAAATCCGTTGCCCACGTCCGAGTAGTGACTTCGACCGAAACTCTTCCCAGCTTCATTCATCGATCGCCCATTCACCTCGCGCGACAAACTCTCTTTAACGTCGCACCTTTCACCGATCGCCGAGCCATTCAACTCTCCGTCGTTCCTCGAAAATCGTTTGCCGTTTCTCCCGATCGACGGTCCAGCTTTCCCGCTCCTAAACGCCGCGTAATTCCCCTCATCACGGTCCGCCCGCCTATCTGAATCTACCGGCAAATCGAGACCGATCTCCTGTTTAATTGGATTTCCCTCCGACCAACCATTATTTCTCGATCGAAGCAAATTTCTCTTTGAATAATTCTCGTTTTTCCCCGCAACCTGATCCCTCCTTGAATCGCGGTTCTTTTCTATGTAGTCCGTCTTTTCAGAGTTCTCAAATAGAAACGAATTCTTCCTCGCGCCTTCCATTAATCGATCATTATTATCTCCGCGAACACGTTCCTCACCGTGCAACGATGAAAACGACTTCTTCGTTGAACGGATTGATTCCCGATTATCCCTATTCCTTTCGTCGAGACTCCACGGTTGAACCAGTCTCCACGTTGCGTAATCCTTAAGTCCTTTATCGTTTTTTCTGGTGTTCCTCGATGGAATCGAACTCGTCGAGCGACTCATGAACACTCTATTATTTCCTACGGAATCCTTTGTCAAAAGTGACATTTCAACTTCGTAGTCCCTCGTACGTTCCTCCCTTCCCAGATTCCGCGACTTCTCATTATTTTTTATAAGACTCCCCGATTCTAGATGATCGAATAAATAATTCGTCGAACGTTTCGTTCTCGCTGGATGTAAGAAAGGAAGCAAATAACTGGAGCCACGTTTATCCTTGGTTTCGGCATTCTCTTCAGGTTTTATGTCATCCGTTGAATAATCTATACTGATCGTATGTCGCTTCCCGATTCCCGGAGCTTGCTCGTCTTTTTTCTTGCGCCCGTCGGACGACGCGATCGCCACGGTGAAATAGTTCCTGTCCGAATCGATCGGCGTGGATACAAACGACGCGTCGCCGGCTAAGTCGAGCCGACATCCCAGAAGAAATAGGGCCCCTGCTCCGAGGGTCAGCACGCCCCGGGCCCACGCTGCTCTTCCGGGGTGGTACATTTCTACCCCATGCTCACTGGAATCACCTGGCTACCTCGTCGCACCACTGTCGTCGCTCATCACGCTGTCAGCGCGTCCAGGAATCGTCGGTTTTCGAGCGCATCGGCGATTAAACAGAAGGAGACATTTACTGGAGATTAGAAATTTGCTGGGTGGTTTATCACACCTACTTGTTCCGGGGACGTTGATATTTTCTACGAGGACTCCACGGCACGAACTCGACTTCAAACGTTCGAAACAATGAACCTTTTGTATCTTTGGAATACTCACACTGGCACAAGAAACAGATTTTTGTAATTCTAATTTCTGGGTATCTCCTTTCTCGCAACGTAGAGTAAACTTGATCTGCAGTCACAAATTGTAATGATCAAGCAGTTTGCGATCGTGCATTAATTTTAAATAAGTTTACCCAGTGATTAAACTCATTTACACGATTTGGATAACTTTCATTATCGTTTTTTCACTAATTTATAGGGAAATCTTGTAGATCACTAATTTATGTCACTCACTATTAACGTTTTTATTATTGTTTAATAGTTTCTTAATTTTACTGCTTTTTTAATAAAACATAAAGTTATCATATTGAAATTATACTGATTAGTTAGACTGGTTTATAACAGAAAATTTTGTTTAGTCTTAGCAAAAACTGCCGATGCGATATAAAAGTAGCAACTCGTAGATCATGGAATTGTTCTTCATTGTCCGATAAAATTATTTGAATCTACGAGTTCTCATTAGATATTTCATGCACCCACAGTTTCGCTGAGCTAATCTCGTTTCAATAGTCCCTTGGGCATAGAAATCTGAATTAAGACGTCGAAGCACCAGTTAGAAGTAACACGGACGAATCGATTTCATAGAAACGGCGAGAAATTCGTAACCGCAACGCGAAAGATCGGATCGGGACCACGAGAAGGGGAGAGCGTGGTGACCGGAAGAGAAAAAGAACTGCTCGATCGAAGAACCCGTCCTCGGTCGATCGACGGGCCTCTTTCGCCGATTCCTCCGCGAAAGGTAAACGGTCCCAGCCGAAAAGTAAACGATCGGCCGATCGATCGATCGTAACGAAATCCTCGCGAAGCCCGGAGAACGAACAGAGGCGGGGAAAAGAAGTGATAGGAGAGGAGCACGCACACGTGGCTCGCGAAGAGGTAAGTATGTACCAGCTTCGACGACTGCCCGAGAAACACTGGCTTGATACCATTAGCTGGTCGTGCTCTCTCCTCTCTTCCTCCTCGTTCGCGACTCGCGTCCTCCTCCTTCCTGCGGGAAACCCGAATCTCCTCTCCGTGGCTCCTCGGTGACTGCACGCTGCACGTGGGTGTTACGCTCGCGATTCTCTTTCCTCCTCATTCCCAACCTCTGGTCTCTCCAGAAGAAGACTCGAGATACGTTCCGTTTTTCTTTTTGCCTTTTCGGTCCGTTTCTCAGGTTACGTCACGAACAATGCGCTACTGTGATTATAATTTATTCCTCTTTTATTCATTTTCGTAGGTACGATTACTTAAAAGTCGAGGCTTGGTTCTATCGTATTACGGTGGGCTACCAGATAAAGGTTGAGCTATCTAAAAAGAGTGGATTTGTCTAAACATGTTATGTATACGTACGTGTTCTGAGGAAGATTTCTATTTAAACTGTTCAATGTATGTTGATATTCGAAAAGTAGGTCGAAGCCAGTTCTGCAATGGTTCGTTATCGATTGTTTAACTGTTAGATAAGGAGATGATGTGTTCCGCACTAGCGCAGAGATAAACGCTTGCAAGGACGTGAAATATTGCAAATAGAGAACTCTTGCTTGGGCGTGCATGTCTAGGCAATAAAACTGTTCTAACTACATTATTTTGCCTTATTATTTCCAGTTTGCAACAAAATCATTTTCATAAATTAAAAGCTCATTTAACAATTTTATGTTACATATAAGATAGTATATGTACGTATGGAAAACGTATGTAATTGCACATAGGCACAAATAAATAAGTGAATCTGTGTATTTTTTTTTATGGTGTCCTATGTATTCGATTTATATTATGTTAAATATGACATCTATCTTAAAATGTCGTAGACAAGAGAAATGAAGTATGCGTCAACTGGCTTAACTTCAATCTACACGTAGAACCGAGCAATTCCCGGCCGCCAAACGTAATCGCGTGTCGCATAAATATTAATCTTTTTTTCTTTTCTTGTTCGAATGTACACGTGTACATCCGTTGAATATTTATAAAGCTCCTTAATGCCCTGTTACATTACCAATGCGAGAAGATCTCGTTTCGTTAGGCTCCTTCGCGTCCTTCTTCTCATTCATGCTCGATTCCGTGACGTACGAGCAGCCCATCGAATCTCAAACGCAGAGGTATGTTTTACTCAATATCTGATTGAACGGGAAGTACTTATTGACACATGGCTACAACTAGGACTCTAAGTGATTTCGATTATTTTTGACACATTTTTTACCCACTGGTACTGAATATACACATGAGAATATAAATACGTACATACATACATACGTGCGTGCATGCATACATATATACGTACGTACGTACATATATACATGCTTATATACATAGAATATACATATATAATGTAAGTACGTATATGTACACATAGTATGGACTCTCGTAGACGGAGTAACTCCCGTTAATTGCGCGCTCGCAAACATCCCGCTCGGATTTCGCTTCCGGCATCTAGACAGCCAAGAATTTCAACTGAGGAACCGAACCGACCGCGGCTAGAATGCGACGCGATCCGCAAAAGATTCCGTCGATCGTGAACGAAAAAAATAACACGTGCCTCGCGGTTCGCTACGATAAACCTTTATCAAACGTTAATTACGCGTCACGACTCTTCGTTACTCTCGGACTACCATTTGTTAAGCTTATGGGTACCTGAACTCTAATTATGAGTAAATTAATGGGTAAACTAAACCGTGAAGTTCCTTAAAATTAAAAAATTTCGATAAATATTTCGATAGAAGGAGATTAAGAATGTATATTAAATGAAAATTTGTCAGAAAATTGTTCCTATAAAGAAATTAAAATTTGGATGGATTCGTGAATCGTTTAAAAAAATTACCAAATTTTTCGACGCGGGATTCGTATGCTGCCTGAAAGATGGGAGAAAGCAGTGGCCAGCGATGGACAATACTTTGAATCATAAATGTATAACTACTTTTTCGCAATAAAGCTTCGAATTTCGAAAACAAAATGGCGGAAACGAACGCTTCCGAAATATAATTATGCATACAATCTAATAATTCATACAGCATTGAATATTATTGAAATAATCTATGGAGATTATAACACGTGTGCATTTTCTGAAAGAGCTTGACGGGAATGGGATTGAATGCTACACGGAGTAACATCAAGTTTTTGCAGGTACACCGGCTATTAAGCTTGTCAACGATACACTCGTAGCGAACCAATAAACGCGTACCCTCCAGCGACCAGATCCACGCGATTCATTAATTATCCAATCGGCCCGCTTCTTCTTCCTGTTTTCCTTTACCCAGTGAACACTTGCAACTATACAGGTCCCTTGCGATGGCTTCATAAAAGCCTAACAATGAAATATCCTACGGGAACTCTTATTTGTACGAGAACCTTGTAAAGATTACTGCATTTAATTACCTCATTGTTAGTCTAGTCCAAATTACCCCTACAATACAAAATATAGGCAACAGAATGAGCGTAAAATTCGTCAGGTAGACAAAATTCAACCTTCGAATAACCGCAATAAAGTTCTTAGGATGGCTAAAATCCTTGGGTCTTATTCAAGACTGTATGATGTTTTGTACATAATAGTTGTGCTTCTGGTTCCCAATAAAAATTAACTTCAGTTAGAAATAACCCTAATATTCTTACAGGAACTTTATTTCTTACAGTTTATAGGCGACTTTGGTAGTTTCTTTGTACTAAAATTTCTGCATTTGATTTATGCAGGAAGGTATGAGTTTCCTTAGTAACCCTAAGAAGCTGCGCGTTTCGCGCAACTTGGAAGGTGGTGAGAGTCGCAGCGAACGTTTTCGACATCTTCAAATGCGAAATCGCATGATTATCGACTAATCTATCGCGCACGCTTTACACGTTTGTACACATGAATACAAGTCACTCAATATATAAGTATAGTTTAACTGAACATTTATGAATCGTCGCCTAAGCAAGCATCTTTCATAGACCTACGTGTTTCTCTCCTGTCTCGCGTGAACAAATACTCCTCACAACCGTGAATAAAAAGAGGGTAAAATCGGCATTTACATTGTATCGCGCGCCTACGCCCGTAATAATGGTAAAATCAGTAATAAGAAAATAAATCAAAAGTTATCTCTTGAAATCGAATACAGCGTTCATGTGCAAGCCTATAAATAAATTCTATTTACTATTCTTTTTAACGTTTTATCAGAAATCATGTTATTATATCAATAACTCGACGAGGTTTTTTTTAAATCAGTGAATGCAAGATTCAATTAAATAAAAACGAAAGGTGTTTGCGAAATTGAAGATATGAAAATATAACAGGTATCAGTTTTATGTAAAGCCGTGGATGCGAGTTCCGTTTTCATCGGGATCAGAGGTCAGTCGCGGCATTAATTAGCTCTCGAGTGAAAGCCGACGCGTTAACATCGAATTACGACCGGTCATTCCGCGATTCGAACGATTCGTGCGATTATCTCCGGGCCGCGTCGCATAATTTCACATCGTATAAGATATAAAAGAATGTAGTTGACTTCAAATTTTCAAATCGCAGAAAGTCATTTTAATAACTATTTAACAATTGTTTAGGAAGCATTGACATTTTATTTCGTTGACAGGAGAATTCTGAGAATTTGAATAGAAAGTGAAAGTAGTGTCACTCTAAAGTTCAACGTAGAGCAATTTTATGACCTCACATTTTATTTTTGGAGTCCAAAAACCTTAGCACATCGTTAAGGGATCACAGCCATAAGCCCTATCAATCCTTATAACGTATAATAAAATAGCAGTTCACTTCTCGATAAACCGAAACCTTTTTGACTTACGCCTAGCATTTAGTTTTATTGTACTTGGACGTGCTTCACTGTCAATGATCATAAATGGCTAGATTTTTCTAGGATTGCGATTATATGTTCGTTCGCAACACGGCGAAACCTTTGTACTCGAAGTAAACGAATCGAAAGCTAGCATGCCAGCCCATGTTTAAAATCTAAAAATATATCCATAATGCATGTATTAAATTAATACGCCTACGTTCCTTGCTTAAGAGGACAGTCTTCCTTCTCAACTCTGTCTCTTAGATTTACTATTTTTTAGTCATTTCGTTAAAATAAGTATAATCATCCTACATATAGAAAAGCCACTTCACTCTCTCTTTCAGAATCGTGACTCTTTTTTTACAATAACTAAATAAATGCAGTCTATACTATGTATGCAGTCTATACTTATGTGTGTCAGTTTAATAATTCAGTAAAAAGAAACAGTTATTCCAGGAATTTTTAATCTTCATTGATTAGTAAATTTCTGATGCAGTCTGTTGAAAGGAACTGTTTTATTCGTTGCACGAAAACTAAATGTCAGACGGTGTTAATAACGGTTAACTTTAACGGTACCGAATCCACGCGTAAACCGAATATAAAAGACTGTCTTGAAAAGATTTGTGAGCAAGGGGTGTAAGTACACGCGAACGCTGGCGAACACAGAACGCGAGGCGAAGCGACGGTAGATTCGATGAAAAAGCAAAAGACGATTTTATGTGATATTCATGGTGGCACAGGTGGCCTGGCTGCGTGACGATGAGTATCTGGCGGCGAATGACGTCGCGCGTAATAGACAGGCCGCGTGGGCACGGCTAGTTTTATAGAGCCCACACGTCCGGAATACAAAATCCCTCGGTGCACCTATCTGCGCGTATACATACGTGCACATAGATGTACGTATATACTCGTAGTTACTTTAACTTCCGCGATGAGATCACCTGCCTGTGTTTCCCCGTTCGCTCGCATATGTATTGTGCGTTTGGCAACTCGCGGCTGCCTAGCCGGGATCAGACGTGATTCACGTGTCGTAATTTTGATGGCTAGACACCCGGGACCATTAAAGACGCCGACGCGGCGAGGGAGAAAGAAAAATAAATGACTGCGTGGTGTAGGAGACTATTGTTGTTGATATCCAAGACTAATAGTACTGTTCAAAAATGCGG